TAACCCGAACTTTTTCTAGACTTTATGGACAGCCCCTTAATTTCCCAAAGGACGGCATCTGAAGTGAATTGAGAGTGGGGGAAACAAAGACAATGAAAATGTTTTTTTCCCCCTAAAAAGAAGGAAAGGAAGACTGATGACAGTGTCCAATTACAATGGGAGTACTGAGCTTGTATTTTTGGGGTTTCTTTTTTACTGCTTTGAAAAAATTGCCTGGAAGAGAATACGAGCTGTAAAATATGTGGAAATGACAGCGAAGATGGGTGGAAACAGTTTGCGGCGCAGCTGCAGGTATGCTGCTCAGCAGCAAGTGTGTTGGTGGATTTCAGCTCTGAATTTATTAGTCTGCCAGTGTGTTGCTTCCAGAAAGCCTCTGCCAATGAGTGAGGTGACATATTTTGCCATTTCTCTCTTGTGAAGTACTTGGGATTGCCAGAACAATAAACATCCAGATGATTCTTCTGTGAACAGAGGCAAATCTTGCTTAATTTAAGGGGGTTAGAATAGTGACTGGGACTGCTTGGGTGCTGTCAAGTAAGATTCTTTCTTTGGGTTAGGGTTAAATGTCACTTCCTCTAAATTCAACAATTAATTTTTTTTAAAAAAACAACACTATAGCGTTTCCAGTATTCAAAGAAATCCTCACAACAGCTCTGTAAAGTAGGTCAGTGCTATGAAATCTGAACCAATTACTACCCAAACTGCAAATAATCCTGTATTGCACGCCTTTTGATTTTTGGCTGTTAGGGGGGGAAAAGATTAAAAAAAAAAAAGCTCAGACTCACTGAAAATAATTCCTCTACAAAGACCAAAGCAATCATTTCCATCCAAACAGAAAATAATAGTATCTAGAGAATTGGCTGTCCCCGTACCAATGCATAAACAAGTGGTGGTTGCCGCCCATGTCAACAATTGACGTGCAGTTTTATTGCTGCGATTTGCACATGGTCTGGAGCGGTGCTGGCACCAGGTCGAATGTGGGGGGGCATAGTCACTGAATGTCAACTCTATCCCTACTTCTGCTTTATATGTATGAACTGGTAAGTTCTATTTCACTGTGTGTAATGAAGTGTGTGTGCACACAAAAGCTCATACCTTGAATAAAACTTTGTTGGTCTTAAAGGTGCCGCTGGACTCAAACTTTGTTCTACTGCTTCAGAAAAACACAGCTGGTTCTATCTATCCCTAGTTAAATTTCAAGAGTGTAGCTGTGTTGGGCTGAAGCAACAGAACAAAGTTGGAGTCCAGCGGCACCTTTAAGACCAGCAATATTTAATTCTGGGTATAAGCTTTTGTGTGCATGCACCCTTCTTCAGATACATTGAAACAGACTTAGACAACCATTACATATAGGTAACACCACACATGCTAAGTCACTCATCGCATCTGTTTGTTAACTCTTTTATTATCTGTATGCTAATTTGCTACTATTCACAGGTTTTACCAACTATACTTATTGGTCAGTTACTTGTGCATCTTGACTCCATTTATTTATTTATTCAACTTGATATACCGCCCTAACCCCCGTAGGGGTCTCTGGGCGGTTTACATGAAGGGTGCTAGTCACAACTTTAACCCTAAGGCCACATTTTTCCACGGGGAATGGGACAGCCTACCGGCACCCCAGGTAGAGATAGATGTTTCTTTATTCCGGTCTGGCTGGCTTCCTTCCCGGCGGTATCGAGCTGTTGTTCTTCTGGCGCATTTTTGCGATCCGGTGCGCCGGCGGCGTCCTCCTCAGGTCCCGGCTATTTCCCTTTGGCTCCGCCGCGCCCTCGGGTGACGTCACGCGCCGTTGCTCCCCGGCACGATCAGATGCCAGGGAGGAAGAGACGAGTGGGAGGGGGAGGCTGCCGAACTGCGCATGCTCGAGCATGCGCAGTACGGCAGGGGGCAGGGGATGCGCTGGCGAAAAGTCGCGCCGGCGATCCCACGGCATTTGCCGCGCCCATTCAATTGATGTGCGTTTCGGGCGGTTGGGACGGATCGGGGACGGCCACGGCACGATTGCCAGATGTTGCTGTGTGATCGTGCCCGTTTGATGCGGCCCCGATCCGTCCCTCTCTCAGCCCAAAACGCCTTGTGTGAACAGGGCCCTAGTTAAATTTCAAGAGCATAGCTGTGTTAGTTTGCTGTGGCCAAAATAACAAAGAGTCTTATGATGAAAGTGTATGCACCATGGTAAATTTGTGAAGTCTTTAGGGCAGGGGTGTCAAACATAAGGTCCATGGGCCAGAACTGGCCCATCCAGGGCTCTTAGATGGCCCACCAACAACTGGTGTAAGGGAGGGAACAGGCAGCTTCTCGGGGTGGTGGTGGTAGACAACCTCATCCTCAGCGGTCAAACCGAACCCCTTCACTTTAGGGACAGCCTCACTGGTAAGTTGGGAGCCACTGCAGCCACATTCAAGCCTCTCCACTTGACCTGCATCTCCAGGGATGCTGTCCTGAATGGCCATAGGGATCAACGTTTGCACGTGTGTGTGTGTGCAGACAATCCTCTGTTGGGGCCTTCTGACAGCCATCTCTGCTGCCATATACACACCCCCGCCCCCACATGTGGCAGCTGTGCTTTGGCCCACGAGGGGGCATTCTTTGGCAGTTTCTTCCACACATCAGGGGCCTAGTCCTGCCACGGAGCATGTGACTCGGCAGACGGGCCTCCCTCTCCCATGGACCACCCAGTACATGGCTCGGCCCGACAAAGTGAAATTTATGTCAGATCTGGCCCTCATAACAGATGAGTTCAACACCTCTGCTTTAGGGTGTCACAAAACTCTTTTGACATCTTCATTAGTTTCTATGTTGCATGTGAAGCAACACTTGCAGACTGTGAGCCAAGTATAACCACAGCAGCGAAATCCACCATGAAGAGAGTTTTTGCAGCAGTGAACATGCTACAAAGAAGGACGGTCATGCAATTTCTGTTTAGTAGAAACCAAATGCAAAGTGAGGCCTGGGGCTCAGACTTCAGGGTTGCCAACTCTGGCTTGGGAAATGCCAAGAGATTTAGGGGTGAAGCCTGGGGATGTAGGGTTGCCAACTCTTGAGTTTGGAAATACCTGGAGATTTGAGGGTGGAGCCTGGGAGAGTGAGATTTAGGGAGGGGAGGGACCTTGGTAGAGTCTAATGACATTCAGTCCATCTTCCAAAGTAGGCATTTTCTCCAGGAGAAATGGAATACATGTTTCAATTAAATAAATAACTAAATAAATAAAATAAGTGATTTATGTAGTCTGGAGACCAGTTGTAATGCTGGGAGATCTCCATCCCTTACCTGGAGGTTGGTAATCCAGTTGGGGAGGGTGGAGTTTGGGGATATGATTCCTTAAAAACTGCACTCTGAAGCTGCCATTTCCTCCATGGGATGTGGTCTCTTTAATCTAGGGATCCCTTAGAATTGCAGGAGAACTCCAGGCCCCACCAGGAGGATGGCAACCCTAACAGAAGAGCATCCTTCAACAGCTGAGGGGCTAGCCAAAGAGCATTTCCCTGCCATTTCTCAGCCCAGCCTCCTGCACGGGATTTTCAGGAGGATCAAACAAAGGGGGCAAGTGGCAGAAATCCCATCTGCAGCTGCTTTCCCCTCTTTCAAAGAAGCGTGGCATAACTATTATTTGTAGCTAATAAATGTAGCCCTGACAAAGAGACAGCAGTATGTGTGTGGGTATGCAACAAGGTTATGGTAGATGAAGGATGGATAGCCGTGTTAGCCTGTCTGTTGCAGTGGAAAAGAGTAAGAGTCCAGGAGCAGGGAGGAGCTTCCGTGAATCACTGCTCCCTTTTTCAGATCTGAAAAGAGCAAGAGTCCAGGAGCACCTTCAAGACTAACTAAATCTGTGGCAGAGTAGGGAGCTTCTGTAAGTCACGGCTCACTTCATAGAATCACGGAGTTGGAAGGGGCCATACAGACCATCTAGTCAAATTCCCTGCCCAATGCAGGACCAGCCTAAATCATCTCTGACAAATATTTGTCCAGTCTCTTCTTGAAAGCTGTCAGTGAACGGGAGCTAACCACCTCCCTAGGCAGCTGATTCCACCTTTGAACTACTCTGACCGTGAAAAAGTTTTTCCTAATGTCCAGGTGATACCTTTCTGCATGTAATTTAAACCTGTTGCTTTGGGTCCTATCCTCTGCAGCCAACTGGAACAGCTCCTTGCCCTCCTCCAAATGACAGCCTTTCAAATATTTAAAGAGACCAATCATGTACCTCCTCAAACTAAACATTCCCAAGGCCCCCTTAGCCTTTCCTCGTAGGGCTCAGTCTCCAGACCCCTGATCATCCTTGTTGCTCTCTTCTGCACCCTCTCGATTTTGTCCACATCCTTTTTGAAGGATTCTTCAGATCTGCAAAGAGCAAGAGTCCCCGAGCGCCTTAAAAGCCTAACCAAATCCGTGACAGGGTAGGAGCTTCCATGAGTCACTGGTCACTTCTTCAGATCTGCAAAGAGCAAGAGTCCCCGAGCGCCTTAAAAGCCTAACCAAATTCGTGACAGGGTAGGAGCTTCCATGAGTCACTGGTCACTTCTTCAGATCTGCAAAGAGCAAGGGTCTGGTAGCACCTTAAAGACTAACCAAATTCGTGGCAGGGTAGGAGCTTCTGTGAGTCACTGGTCACTTCAGACGGAAGTGAGCAGTAACTCAGGAAAACTCCTACCCTGCCACAGATTTTATAAGTCTTTAAGGGGCTACCGGACTCTTGCTCTTTTCCACTGCAACAGAGCTCTGTTATATCTCCAAGGCTGCCATTTCCATCGTGTTGTTCATCCGCGCCCCTTACAAGCATGGCGTATTAATCCGATGGACTGGCTTCACCGGCCGGGAGCCTTCCGGCCCCTTCCCTTCTCCACCTCCCAGGGACCGGCGAGGGAAACAAACACCGGCGCTCAACAGGCCCAGGCCTCGAGACAACTCGTCGCCATGGCAACGGGAGCCGTTTCCTCCGCGACGGCCGGGGGAAACCCCGTTCCCCGCCGCCACTTCTCGCGAGAGTCTGACGGGAGGCCGGCGCGGAGCACAGAGGCCGAGGCGCTGGCGGAGGGCCCTTTTCAAAACCCGGCGAGAGGAAATGGCGGAGAACGACAAGTTCGAGGCCGCGGCGCCGTTGGGGGAAGGCGAGGAGGCCGCGGCGGCGGGGGCCTCGGCGGGCGCCACCGACAACAACCACGAGCAGCCGCCGTCGCAGGAGGAGAGGCGGGCGGCGGAGCAGCAGCAGCAGCGGCGACGGCGGCCATGCCGGAGAGCGGTGACGGCAGCGCCAATGGCGTCAAAATGTGTGTGCGCGAAGGGGGCGTGGGTGGGCAGGCAGGGCCCGGTACCCGAGCGCCGGGATGCGGGGGGCTGCGCAGGCCGCGGGCTGGGCGGAGTGTGGAGAAGAAGGAGCGTCCATTCGCCGGGCGCGGGGATCTCTCTCTCCCCCCCTGTCAAAACTCCACACAGGGAGGCTGGTGAGGATCGCTCTGAAGAGACCAGCCGGTTTACTGGCGGTCATCATTACGGGCAAGGTTAACCGTTGAAATGATAAGCATTATCGTCGTTAGTAGTCAGAGGGGACAATAGAGAGAGCCTTCTTGTGGCGCACCGCTTCAGTCGATTATCGCCCGGTTACTGTCGCTGATAATGATGCGTTGCTACTGTTGATGGCCGTGCTTACCGTCGTGAGCGGTAAATGTTAATTCTAGGGTGTGCTTCAATGGAGCCCCGTGAAAATTGATGCTAGAATATATAAAAAAGGTGTTAGACCGACAGGTGCTGCAAGACTTTCAAGGGAGTATTAGAGAACTGACAACCACAGGTATGCTGCCATGGCTCCTGAACTTGAAGAATTAAACAAGAGCCAGCATGCTGGAGTGGTTAGAGTAAAAAATTTTTTTGATAATAAGTATTGATGTTTTGGCTCTTATTTGTTTCAGAGTCTCCTCACATCAACATAAATGTCTCAACAGTTATTTGATTTAAAGTCTCCTTATGTTAATAACCATGTAGACGACCCTCAGTTCCATAAGTGGCATAATATGCATCACAATACGGTTCAAACTACAGAAAAAATTCACAATCGTATTGAACTATAGCAGCAGTCCCACACAACAAATACTATATTTGCCGTGTGGGACTGCTGCTATTACTTATTTATTTATTTTATGTATTAATTTCATTTTATATTCTGTCCTCTCTGTGAACGGGCTCAGAATGGATACCAAAAAAGTAAAAACATTTCACAGTAAGAATTAAAACACTTCATAAATATTATGAACACTTCATTAAAACATAATGCTGATGTGAAGAGATTTTCAAACAAGAGCCAAAACATCAATAATTATTATCAAAAATTATTTTATTCAGTTGATGATTGTAAAGAGAGGAGCCTATTTCACGACATTTGTTGTTTACCTTTGGTATATTGTCCTGTGAGCCTTATTGTTGATTAGGAGTGGTTAAAGTGTCAGACTGGGGTCTAGATTAAGATGGTTGGCTGTGTTAATTTGTCTGTAGCAGTAGAAAAGAGCAAGAGTCCAAGAGCACCTTAAAGTCTAACAAAATATGTGGCAAAATATGTAGTTTTCACGAGTCACTGCTCACTTCTTCAGATACTAGGTCTGAGAGACACATGTGTTTGAATTCCGCTGCTGTGAAAGCTGGCTTCAGTGACCTTGGGCCAGACATACACAATCAGCCTAATCTACCTGACAGGGTTGTTGTTGTGAAAATAAAATGGAGGAGGGAAGAACAGTGATGTAAGTCTGTTTATGTCTATATTGGGGAGAAAACCAGGGAATAAAGCTTTTTAGAACAAGGATTAGGGGATTTGCTACCGTGGGATATTTTGAAGGCTCCCATATTCATAGAGTGGCCTAGTGGGATTGCTGTAGTAGTCTGTTACAGCAAATGCTCCTGTCGAAAACCAAAAGCCCCATTTGTTTATCATTATTGTTATTTCAGTTGTAATTAATACATTTCTAGTGTAAGCTTTCGTGGACTAGAGCCCTCCTAATTTCTAGGCTATGAAAGGGTTTTCCAAAATAAAAATGTGTTGATGTTTCAAGTGCTGTGGGGTCAGAAAGTCATGTACCACGTGTAGCAATCCTGTATGTGGACGTATCTCCAGGCCGCTATGCTCGTTAATTCCTCTGTCTCAGTTTGTTTTACTGTAAACTGTAACCACCTTCAGTCTTATTTTGGTGCCATTTCTACTGAAATTCTTTCATCACCGGGTTTTTTTGAGAATCAGATGGAGAAGGGGAGAATCTTGTAAACTGCTTTGGGTTTCCATTGGAGAGAAAAGTGGAGTATAAGGAAGTAAAATAAAGCACAAGCAGGTTCCTGTAGAAAGGCCCTAATATTCTTAGGGGTGTTTTGGCATTTATTTATTATATTTGCATCCTGCCCTTCCTCCAATGAGTTTGAGATGGTGCATGCAGTTCTCCCAGTTTTATCCTGCAAACATTCCTGTGAAATGTTAGGCTGAGAGACAGTGTGAGTGTTGACTTTGATACTAGCAGCATTTGAACCTGGGTCTCCTTAGGCCTTGTCCAGAACTCTAAGCAGGCTACCACCCTTGCTCGCCATGTGGCCTTTATTGCTGGATTATTAAAACTAAATAGAATGTTGATGGCTTGTGTTGATGATTAAGAATGGAGTTTGATGTGTTATAATCTGTTAAAATCACTAAGGTTTTATTTGCTTTCTGTTTCCTGTGGTTTTACCAAATTTTGTGATGGCCAGTGGCTATATACAGTATACTACTACTACTTCTAGTATGTAAATCACCCAAGGAGTTTGGCTCAGACAGAAATCCCTTTTCGTGGAGTTCATACCTACTGTAAGCTGCAGGGGTGGTGACTGACCTGCATGGAGCATAGTTCTATGGAAATATGTCAGCCTTGAGAGTGCATTGGAGCCTCATGTGCAGAGAGAGTACATGCTGCTGAGTACTAGAGAGTGGGCACAAAGAGCAGGCCTAGTTTGCTACCTTCATACCCTGCTTGTAAGCGTCCTAAAAACATCTGGCTGGCCACTGTTGGAGATAGAGAGTTGGGCCAGATGGACTAATAGTCTTTGCATGCTTGTGAGCTTTTTAACAGTTCAGGTATAATTAATCTCTCAGTGATTCTGAGGCTGCACTCTATAGCAGGGGTCCCCAGCCTTGTTGAGCCTGCAGCCACCTTTACAACTCTGACAGTGAATGGTGGGTGCAACCATAAAATAGCTGCCAGAAGAGGCAGAGCCAAACACAAAAATCTCAGGGAGCGAGGTCATGCATAACTCTAATAGTAGCTCTTCGACATTTCAAAAGCTCTGTTTAACAGGATGCCTTTTAAAATGAACATAATAAAATATTAAAAATGTTTTCTTGCACACACACACACAGAGCTTATCTTGTGTGCACATATACACAACTTGCACAAACACAGCTTGTTTAAAGTTATACAGTGAAGATTGCTGTTCCCTCACACTTTCTGAAAACATTTGGCAACTATGGTCACCACGCTGGGGAATCCTGCATTATAGAGTCAGTCCAAGGTCTGTTGGCCCTGGGATTTATACACTGCTTTTCTGCCCGGTGGGAACCAAGAGCTGTTTACAGAATAGTTCTCCCCCATTTTATCCTCACCACAACGGCCTTGCAAGGTGGTTTTGGCTGAGAAAGGGATTGACCCAAGGCCACCCAGCGAGCTTCCTTGGCAGAATGGGGATTCAAACACGATCCTCTCAGGGGCAAATCCAGCACTCTTAACAACTGCACAGCACTGCCCGGTATGTAGAATCCTGGCAGCTGGCAAGCATTAGCTGGTCTTGCAGTGGGCTTCCTGCTGTACAGAATTCTAGAAGCACTCTGGCCATTCTTGTCAGGAGTTATTAGTTTTTTGCAGGTTAAAAAACAGTCACAAGCATTGTTCGCTGTGACCCCCTACTTAATGTGATGCTTTCCTAAATTACAGTTTACCTTTTCAGCTGCTCACCTGATTGCCTCTGCCAAGTAAAGGTTTTCTGAGGAACAAGACTGGGAAACTTCAGGCAGCCAGGCAAACAGACACCAATATTTCCCTAAAAGAAAATGGGTTTCTTTATTCCATGACTGACTGACCTGGGTAGCCTAAGAAATGCTTTGGTAGCTTAGCAACTTTGTTACCTTGTTTGCAGTGCATTCCTTTAATATCTAAAGTCTTTCCTCCCAGTTCTAAATGGTTTCCTTTATATTGTGTATTTTTGGAGCAAAACTTTGCTTACTAGACAGTCCTGTGAACACTATAACCATAAGGAATAAAGAAGCTTACTTTGAATAAAGGTATAAGACTGGGAAAGTCTTGGAAGCAGTGACAGAATTCACATTCCTGGAATCCAAGATCACCACAGATGGTAACTGCAGCCATGAAATTAAAAGACGCCTGCTCCTTGGGAGGAAAGCTATAGCAAACCTAGACAGCATAATAAAAAGTAGAGACATCACCCTGCCAACAAAAGTCTGTATAGGAAAGTATTCCCAGTAGTAATGTATGGCTGTGAGAGTTGGACTGTAAGGAAGGCCGAATGCCAAAGAATAGATGCTTTCAAATTATGGTGCTGGAGAAAACTCTTGAGAGTCCCTTGGACTGCAAAAAGATCAAATCACTCAATCCTAAAGGAAACCAACACTGACTGTTCCCTGAAAGGCCAGATACTGAAGCTGAAGCTCAAATGCTTTGGCCACCAAATGAGAAGGGAGCACTCACTGGAGAAGACCCTGATGCTGGGAAAGATTGAAGGTAAAAGAAGGAGGAGATGGGAATGGATGAGATGGTTAGACAGTGTTATTGATGCGACAAACATGAAGTTGAGCAAACTTCGGAGGACGGTGGAAGACAGGAGGGCCTGGCATGATGTGGTCCATGGGGCTAAGAAGAGTCAGACTCGACTGTGCGACTGAACAACAACAATAAGATCGGGCTGCAGGGTTTAGGTAGATTTGCATACTGTATTACTTTGAATTGTCTTTAAATTGATTTATGTTTTTTAGAGGTATTTTAAACAGATTCTATTGGATCCCAGTGAAATAACATTTTTCTGATTATTCCCTGGTTCACATCTTATTTCTGGAGATCCGTCCACCAGTTTTTAACTTGTAATGTTTATATTCAGTGTTGGATCCTATGTGGATGTCTAACCTACGAAAGTTTTATTCAGTGACGCAATGCCACAATTTCATTTATCAGATATTATGATGCATACTCCATGACTGTGCATACTGTAGCTATTTTCTGCTTTCTAGTATATGACCCCAGCTATGCAGACAGCAGCATCTGTTGCATTGTCTGAAGTACTTGCTAAGGAGATGCACTTCTGCAGGAATTTCTGTACGCTTTAAGACTCCTGTGCTTTTGTTCAGTCATTTCAATAGCCGATCAACAGGAACTCAGCTGATGGAATTCATTTTATGCCCAGTCCTTTCTTGCTGACTAATTTATTTGTATTTTTGCCACAGCGTTTTGCCTAAGTCTCAGTAAAAAATGTGTTGTTATGCTGTACTTAAAAACATTATTGCTACAGGGTCTTTTCCCTCCTGACATTTGTTTAGTGTTTCACAGTAGTTACACTAGACTACAAGTCGCCTTCGTAGGTTCACTTAAAACACTCACATTTGGTTCTGATATCTTAAGTTCTAACCTGGCTTAGTGTCTATACAATCTCTTTTAAAATTCCTATTTATACCCTGCTTTTTCTCCTTAATTGGGAGACCCAAAGCATCTTACAACAGCAACCCTGTGAGTTAGGTTAGGTTAGGCTGGGTCTCCAAGACCCTTGTCTTGCATTTGATCCACAACACCACATTTACTTTTCAGAGTACTACAGTGATTCCTTTCAGATTGGGCCATCAACAGTGGTTAGCATATTGCTGTTCCCATTACGTTGACTGTACATAGTAACTAACTAACACATTTATTTATTTATTTAAAATGTTTTTTTCCTGCCTTATTTCCTTGGGCTCAAGGTGGCTAACAGCGCATATCAGTTTGTGCACATTCTTCATGTCTTTTGGGGAATATGCAGAGCCTGGGGTGTGTATATTACATTAACCTTAACTTAACCAAAGACACATGCACACTCATTGTATACTAAGGTTATTGAGTGTTGTCCTAATGACCTATTCTGTTGAGCATTCTGATCCCTTAAAGTGCAGTAATTCTCAGTTGTTCACTGATGAAATCTCAAACTGTTACTCCAATCTCTGGTAGTATGAGAACATGTTGCCCTTACATTGGCCTGCTTTTTGGGGGTGGGTACCCTGGTTGGACACTCTGCAGAATCTCAGGTTTACACATGGAGCTCTAGCATGCACAAGTTGCTGTTACTGCAGGGTTCAAGCTCATTGGCATTCAATAATTTATAACAAGTTTGTCTTGAGGGAGAGTAAGACTGAACAGTGATAGCTGTCAGAGTACTAATAATGTGTTTTAAAAATCAGATTTTGTTTACTCATTCAAGATACTTATATTATGAGTCGAGAAAACAATTTGTATATTTTGCTTGTTCACTAGTAGCGCCATCCTTAGCAGCATGATGCCTTTCTAAGCCCCCTGACTTCAGTGGACTCAGAAAGATGACTCTGGCGGAAGGTGATAACCTGCTGGCTCTTTCAGCAACTACACTTTTTATAGATTTTATGCTCAAAATACATAGGGACATTTGCTGCGCTAAATTTAGCATCTTACTGCAACCGTGGTCTCATTCCGTGCACATGGGAGACAGAGCTGCTAGCCAGAAATGGCTTGAAGCTCCAGGAGGAGAGGGTGAATTGTGGTTGGTGTTATTCTGGCACTTAAATACTCCTAACACTGAACTGTACCATTGAAAGCACAACAATAAGACTCCCCCCTGCCCTTTTTTTCCCTTCCAAAATGCAGGGAGAACGACGAAACCGCAAAAGATGAGAGGCCACCTGGGAAGGAAAAGTATATTTCAAAGCCCAAGGCAATCCCGTCTCTTGGACACAGGAACAGATTCCACCCCTATGCGAAGGAGAAGAGCGCAGGCACCGGAGAGAAGAAGACGATTAACCGTAACCGAGTGTTCATTAGCAACATCCCCTATGACATGAAATGGCAGTCTATTAAAGATCTTATGAGAGAGAAAGGTAACTTGCACCTCATCGCCTGCTTCACACAGGAATGGGGCAAGCCAAAACAATACCCATGAGCCGGTTTGTTTGTCCTCAACTTCTGCTTGACATATCTTTTCCCTCTTCCCTGGCCCCACCTCTCTTTCACTGGAGACACTTGCATTGTAGGCTAGGATGGGTAAATGAATCAAGTATCCACAGCCTCCTTCCATTCTAGTGGGAGAGTAGACAGCCTAGAGCACATGCCTGAACGTTATAAAGGGACCGTGTTATGTCTCGCTGTTAGTTCTGCCTATAAGCAATACTTAGTGTGTTTAAAAGCATGAATGACCAAGGATGCCTTCCAAAAGATGTTTCTGTATTTTTCTTGGTAGAATCTGGCTGTGGAATTTACATCTCTGTTTGCATTGTCACTTCTGCCATGATTGGTCTGTCTGGAGTTCTGCATCAAGTGTGTTACTACTGTTGTAGTTTTGACAGAACTATTTGAATGCCCCAACTCTTCTCTTTTTTTGCCATGGGCAGTGCCGGGGCAGGAGAAATCCCAATTCATGAAATGTCAAAAGTTAGTTTTGTATTTAGTGTGGGAATAATGTTTTTTTAAAAAAAAATAGATTGCTTTTAATAATCATTCAATGCCTATTTGGAGAACAGGCTTTTTAATCAAAGCAAATCTGTAACTGTGTTAGGTGTATCTGTTGTAAGGTGACGTGACTATTTGATTGGGTTTATGTAATGAAACTTTAGAAAGCGTGTGGCTTGCTGTGAAATTTTTTTTGACTTTTGTAAATTGGTTATTCTATTTGAAGTCAACCTCTTTACTATTTTGAAGCTATTCAGGTAGAAAGTCACCTTAAAACAGCTGTTGTGAGCAGGATGACCAATATTCTCTGAAAAGTGCTATTGTCGATGACCTAATTTGATAGGTGAAGGGACCTATTTGTATAGCTGAACTTGTTCACCAACTATATCATACTGGCCAAAAATATGATTTTGTAGTATGAATTAGGTTAACTATAGTTGTTTTTCCTTTAGTTTTTGAGAATGTGGCTGTTGCATAATCCTGAAAATTAGCTAAATTCTATAGCCCTTGACAGGAGGTATGTTGGTCTGGTCTTGATTGTTGGTGAATAATAGGTGCTTCTTCGTAGAGTTGTGCACAGGGACACAGCAAAGCAAGACTCTGGTGTTTAAATGCATTGTCTCTTGGTATTTTCCCTTTGTATGTCTTATGTAGTTGGTGAGGTTACATACGTGGAGCTGTTTAAGGATGCAGAAGGAAAATCAAGGGTAAGTGCCGTGGGCAACAATCTGCAGAGGTTTAAAGTCCCTCAGCAGTTTTATTTTTGTATAATTCTTGTACCAGTAATTTGGAAAGTAAGTTTCATTTTATTTTACATTGCTGTTCCTACAGACTTGAGGTTTCTGTCTCAGATACAGTTTGTTCATTTTTCTACTATACATATATAAATCAGTCTAGCTGGATGACAGGGGAAAGCTTTCTAAATTAGTGTTTTAAATAAATGGCATTTACCTAATTAATTTAAAGCTAGCAGCTCATTTTAAGGATTTCTGTTGTGTTCAGATGTGTCTTAAGGATCTGGGGGAAAAAACCCCAATTACTGAAATGATAAATTGAGTGTAGCATTTTAATTGAAGGCTGAGTTATCCAAACCTGTTGATGAGCCTGAAGATGGCAGGGGCTGCTTCTGGATTATGGAACTTGTGTAGGTAAAAAACCCCAAAATTGAGTGGAAGGCGTTGGTGGTTAGGCAAGTGGATGCCGGCAATGAGGGAGTCGCTTGAGTGCAAAGAATGTTAAAGCTGCTTTGTGTCTTTCTTCTTAAAAAGGTCAGACGTTCAAACTATAGTAAAGTCTGAGCCTGCTGTGTGAACATGAGAAATGCAGGTTTGATTCGAACGTAAGCAGTAAAACCTGTTGGGTGTTGGTTCCTCTTTCTCCCCTTTAAATATTTTTTGTTTAAATGCAATTTTTTGTTTGGCCTATGGGGATGTCTTCTTTTTTTATAAAATACCATCAGATCTAAACTGGTTGCTCTATGTTTTCTATCAGAGTAATGCATTGATTAAATCACTCAAAAACTATTTGTTCTTAAACTTGTTAATATGGAGAGGATGCCAGTGAAGCAATCGTACTTATGGAAAACCTGAGTGATGTACTTCCATGTCATTGGCCAGTGGTGCTCTTTGACAACTCACTTGGTTTTTCCTCCTTTAGTTAATAGTGGGAATCTGTGTAAACATTTTCACATTCTATTTCTGTTTTGGCTCAAGGAAAATATAAAGAGTCAATAAAATTGAATAGCAACCTTCTCTGAATTTAAAGCTGTGTGTATAAAGTGATAAGATAAACTACATCTTGTCTACTGAGTCAAAGACTGCTGCTCTTCCCACTCCAAAACTTCTAATCTTTGTTCATGTGATCTGAAATCTTCAAAATATTTTACTATAATTGCATTTACTGACTGATTTTTTTCCCCTTTCTCTATGTTTTCAATCTTCACGTGGATATAGGGCTGTGGGTAAGTTTCTTATTATTCGTTGTGTTAAAAGATCTTTAAATAAATTAAACTTAAATTGTATTTCTTTATTTAAAACATTTCTACCCTATCTTTCCTTGTGGCTCAAAGCAGCTTACAATTATAGCTTTAAAAATATTTTCAGTTAAAAACCAAAATAAAACAACAAACCCCAATCTCTTGTTCCCTCCCTTAAAAGATGCCTCAAAAAAGCAACTTCATTGCCAGTTCTCTTTCTTCCAGAGTGGTTGAATTCAAAGATGAAGAATTTGTAAAGAAGGCACTGGAAACTATGAATAAATATGACCTTAATGGACGACCATTGAACATAAAAGAGGTATGCATGTAGTTTTATAACAGAGTAATTCTAGGATGTTAAACTTCTTTTAAAGTAGGAGAACCTTCGTAGAGTTGTGAAATGCCTTCAAAGAAGATTCAGTGCAGTGAGCAACAAAAATCATGCTACAGCTCAAAACAAGCAGTAATATTGAAAGAACTGATTCTCACTGAAAATCACAGCTACAGCCAACCCTTCTTTCCCTTTCCACTAATTACAGCCTCAATAGGATGGATTTGCCTAGAAAACAGGCAAGACGTTTGCAGAATCAACACTTCCTATAACCCCAGAGTGTTGTATTGATACAAACTTGATCAGGCACGGTGTGTGTGTGTGCACACATGTGCACACATGCATGTGTGATTTTTCTGTAGGACTTAAAATATATCTACCTGATTGGCTCTATTGTTTGTATGAACCATGCATTTACATTCTTGAGGTATTTGATGTATGATTTGTATTGTTTTCTGACGGTGGGTGGGTGTCTGTTCTCCCTGTGTACATATACTCCTCTCTGAACCCTTCTGTCCCAGAGAGTTGCGTCGTCTTCTTATATTACCAGATAACACCCAAGATGACTGAATTCAAGTTTTGTTTTGGAAGAGCATGTTAGGCTGACAGATTTCTACTTGTCCATAGGCTAGGTAACAACATAAGAAGTAGCAGTACCCACAGTCTCAACCCTCATCTGAAAGGACCACCTCTAGAGGTGAGGGAGCTAGGTCTCCATGTGCAATGAAGTATTTATTCCTTCTGCTGCCACTGATAAGGACGCTAACTGCTAATTTCGGGGTCTTGTGGATCTTAAAAACAACAACGACAGTCGCTGTTCCTCTCTTTTTCTCTGGCTTTGCGTTCCTACAAGCTGCTCTGCAGGGTCTGATTTTGCGTCTCATCGAATGTGTTGTAGGATCCGGATGGCGAGCATGCTCGTAGGGCACTGCAGCGGGGAAGCGGGACATTCTCGGGAGGACACGGCCCCGATATAACGCCTGGCCTGATGAATCTGCCACCTTCTATTCTTAACAACCCAAACATTCCTCCTGAGATTATCAGTAACCTGCAAGCTGGCCGTCTTGGGTCCACCATTTTTGTAGCCAACGTAAGTATAAGGATGAACTAGATGTGCCTATCTTAAGTCTGTGCTCAGACTTACCATTCTTGGAAAGAATGGGGGGGGGGCTGTTTGCTGACTAAAATGATCAGTATTTGTGAGAAGGAAAAGTACAGGGCTGGATTCAGACTAAACTTTCCTTCAATGGAATATAACTCCCCCCTCCCCCCCGCTGCACACTGTTCTCAATAAAATGCTGCGCCTGGGGAATAGGCGACCTTGAAGAACAATGTGGGTTGAAGCTGGAAGGGGGAATCTGTGGGAACTGCCAGGTTAGTTTGGAGCTGAGCCCCACTTGGTGGTGGTATTGTGGGTCTATCTGAGGATGCACACACAAAAAAGTCATTTCAGAGGGCAGCCCTGTTGGTCTGTGGTAGAACAGCTGGATTTGAGTCCAGTGGCACCTTTGAGACCCACAAGATTGTGGGGATACAAGGTTTTGAGAGTCCAGAGCTTCCTTTGTCAGGCTCTCGAAAGCTTATACCCCCCTTAAATCTTATTGGTCTCTAAGGGGCTACCGTTCTACTGCAGACCAAGATGGCTCCCCTCTGAAACGATCTTCGTGGAAGTCACCACATCCAGCTGCATGGAGTGGAAATCCCATCAACCTCATGGGGGGAAAAAACTTGCACAGGTACAAAAAAAAAAATCAGTTAACACCATGCAGTTCTTGATTGCCTTCTCTTTACCAGAAAGCTCGTCCTTAGACCTTCTTGCACATATGAATGGCCTCTCTCAGTAAATATTTTACAATGTATACTTTGCACACATTTTGTATTCTTTCATACCTTTTCAACATTGAATTGCGCATTTAATCTGTCTGCTTTCTTCTGGTAATACTTTTTAAAATAAGGAGTTTGTCAGCTAAGTGGCACCTTCTCTTCAGAAATTGTTGTCTCCCAGTTTTCTTACTCAGTACACTGGAAAGAAGAAAGTGGATGTGGTTTTAGAGTGTGTGGGGGGGTCCCCAGTGTGGTGGCTGTGGGTGCCATGGTGCCTGCCAGTGCCAGTCCTTTCTAGAAGTGGGTGTGGCCAGGTTGGACTTTTGTCCAGGAGGGATTCTTGTTTACCACTGGAGAGCTGGTGGGCTGTGCAGATTTTTAAAAAGTTCCTGCTGCAGCAGCTGCCACTATAGCACAAGGAACTTCACTGCGTGACTGAAGACAAGCTGTGTGTAAACAAGAAAATATTTTTAAACAGTGTCCATTTTAAAAGGCATCCCGTTAAGCAGAGCTTCTGCTCAGAATGTCGCAGAGATACTATTAGTTGTGCATAACTTCACTCCTTGACATTTTGTGGTTGGCTCTGCCTCTTGTGGCAGCTGTTCCATGGTTGCGGCCACCTCCCTGTGTCAGAGTTCCAAAGGTATCTGCAGTCTCAAGGAGGATGGGGGCCCCTGACTTAGTGCGGTCTTATTTAGCTACTCCAAACTACGCCTGTTGGTTTCAATGGCCTTAGAGTGGAGTAACTTGATAGCATTGTAGGTTTAATCTCCAGAAGGAGTAATATTTCAGAACTATCCATCTGTATGTGTATTTAAAACATTTGTCATGGTTTACCAATTTTAAAGGCTTTACAACAGTGATATAAAAATGTGTTGGATTGACCCATGGAAGATTTTTTCCCCTTTTCTTTTTTAAAGCTTGATTTCAAAGTTGGCTGGAAGAAACTGAAGGAGGTATTCAGTATTGCTGGAACTGTAAAGCGTGCAGACATTAAAGAAGACAAAGATGGCAAAAGCCGAGGAATGGGCACTGTGACTTTTGAGCAGGCGATCGAAGCTGTTCAGGCAATATGTATCCTGACCGGTGTTTTGAGAGGGCCTTGCTAAAGGAGTGACTTATAACATGTGAAATCTGGTAAAAACTGAATGAGGCATGGATTCCTATCTTCCTGTCTTCAGTGTATTTGACGTCTAGGGTTTGGCTTGGTGACAAAGCCACTCATATGCAAAATATAGGGCCAAGCACCATCTTAGTTTCAGTGGTTTTGTCTGTAGAGTTGAAACTACATTGTAAAGGCCAGAGTGGAGGCATTGTTTGGTAATAGCGCATGTGTGTGTGATAGGACTTGAATGGAGAGAGGGTTTGAGGCGTGAAGCCTTCCAATAGATTGGAACGAAGAGTGGTGGTTCATGGTATTTCATAAAGAGGAGGTGCAACATGGGGTTCTGGGACTTAAATTTGCCAGAAACCAGCAACTTGCTCACCTATAGTGATCATGTGGGTCAACTCTGGGATGGGGTGTTTGTTTCACACACCACTTTTAAGCAAGCGGGAGGAGAGGAGAAGTGGACAGAAACTGTCCCTCCTGATACAGGCCCCCACACAGGTTGAAGTTGGCACAGGGTCATCTGTTGGTGATCCCATCCTTTCTAGAGGTACATTTAGCCTCTGTAAGAGCCACAACATTCTTTGTAGCTGCCCTCACCTTGTGAAGTTGTCTGCCTGAGGGGGTGTGCGGAGCAAGATTTGGGAAGCCATATAAATGATTTTAGTCCTGAGTGTCTTTGGAAACTGAGATGGTTGTGCTGTTGGAGTTGACTGAACTGGGGGTTTGAGAAGAGTTTCCAGTCCTCGAGGCAGAAGAGCTTGTATTTTTGGATTATGAAGTACAGGGGTTAGTCTGTTTTATTTTCAGATTAAGGGTATAGATTTTCAACCCACAGATATGAGGCTTTTATTTTGCCGTGGTCTTGGAATTGATTAACAGTGGTGTGTTTTTGTTTTTGTTTTTTATGATATTGATGCTTTTTAATATTGTTTGTTTTTTTTGTTAGCTGTTTTGTGATTTGAAGAAATGGCCAATAAATATTTAAATAAGAGCAGTGAAGAATTTGGTTTGGGGAAGCTTGGCCTTGTGGAGGAAAAGAAAGTAAATACTTGACACAAATGGTTAACTCATCTAAACTCTGCCTGCAGCATTGCCTCCCATACAGATTCCTGCACAGGCTTGAAGGGCACCTCCCTTCTGAGGGCAAGTGCAGAAATCTGGAGCTTCATGCTCAGCCTGGGGGATATTTTGTTGAAATAATTTCTTTTTTGGCCCTCGTTTTTTGGGATCTCCCTTTGAAGATGGTAGCATTTGTCAAATGCAGCTAGATTCTGTGGAAAATTGAAGCGATTAGTCCACAGGTGTAACTGTTCAATAATTTCACACTTCTGTTGAAAAAAATTAGCTTCATGACACATGGCTTCTTAAACCATAGCAGTAAAGATAAATCTATTGTAAACTTGTCTGTAAATAGCAAAATTGAAAGACAATGCATTTTTTGTTTTGGGTAACTAATTGTTTCTTGGGAAGAGAAAACGTTTATAGTCGGTATAGGTGCTCTGTGTTTTTATAGTTTGCAGATGGGACAGTTACTAAGGAAAGCATTTGAATAATCTGTCATACAGATGAAGCCGCCTTATACTGAATAAGACTACTGGTCCATCAGGGTCAGTATTGTCTGCTCAGGCTGCCAGTGGCTCTCCAGTGTTTCAGGGAGAGGTCTTTCGCATCACCCACCGCCTGGTCCTTTTAGCTGGAGAAGCTGGGGGTTGAACCTGGGACCTTCTGCATGCCAAGTGGATGCTGTGCCACTGAGCCATGTTCCCCTCCTGCTGAGATCTGCAGTGATTGGCTCGTTGGTTGAATTGCTAATTTTGTGAGTTCTTGTATTTGAAATGAACCACCAGCACCAGTTGCCGTCTCAGGAGGCATTCCCTCCTCTCACGCAGAAGGGAATGCTTCTTCTAAGGCAGCGGTTCTCAACCTGTGGGTCGCGACCCCTTTGGGGGTCGAACGACCCTTTCACAGGGGTCACCTAAGACCATCAGAAAACACAGAATTTTGATGGTCTTAGGATAGGGCTCACCATGCTTTAATTATGTTCAATTTGTAACAATGAAAATACATCCGGCATATCAGATATTTACGTTACGATTCATAACAGTAGCAAAATTACAGTTATGAAGTAGCAACGAAAATAATTTTGTGGTTGGGGGGTCACCACAACATGAGGAACTGTATTAAAGGGTCGCAGCATTAGGAAGGTTGAGAACCACTGTTCTCAGGTATCAACTACTCTGGTGTGTGAATCAGGTTTTAGTTGGGTGACAGACAGTTCTTATTGTTTTATTTGCATGTTTTTAGTCTAGTCTTTGTTTCCATCATCGGTAGAAACAGTGCTCCTTAACTCTGTGCTCAGCTATGTTCAATGGACAATTTCTTTTTGATAGACCAATGCATGTTAAAATGGTGAGTTTGTTTATTTGTTTGGAACATTTCTATGTTGCCTCTCCAGAGACTTAGAAAGTAAAACACAAAACCCCAGAGCATAAAAACAGCACAAAACATTTGGCGGCTTAAAACTTCTCCATTAATTCCTGTTAGGATGATAAATCAATCCCTCACGATGATTTCCGTGCAACAGACAGCAAAACACCACAGCTACCCCGTGAGTATGGATGTGTTTGTTTTGGTTTTAGCTTCCTGTTCATGTAGATCTTCACGCACTATTATCTGTAGTGTCTCTTCTGCTCACTTGCCTTTGGCTATAAGCAGCCATGGAGCTGCTCTGGAACCAGCGGAAACCCCAACATCTTAGGGAGATCTTTTGCTTTTTTTTCCAGGTGGCCTTGGAGGCATCGGGATGGGGCTTGGACCTGGAGGGCAGCCCATAAGTGCAACCCAGCTGAGCATGGGTGGTGGAATGGGAAGCGTGGCTCCAGGAGGTCAGTGTCCTTTCCCCACCCAAACCTATCCAGACAAAAGCTTTTTCCCCACAGTGGGGACTAGGCTGACACGGATTTAGGTGCAAGCTGAAGGCCTTCATGGGATTATGGGAGGAGAGAACAAATCAGAAATACCTCCCCATCCCTGAATCTCCCCCTCTCCCCCTTTTCATCTAAACATTCTGTGGTCTTGGAACATATTCAGACTTCATCAGACCGGGGTGTTTTTTTTGTGTGTGCGCTTTTCTTTTGGTATATTTAAAAAGTCATGCTTTTCAGCATACGCAGGGAGTTCCTGCAGCTATTGTGGGAGCTCCTGTCTCGGCTGTGAGTGGTTCCATTGTACTCTTTTTGAATGACTGTCACTTGATCATCAAGTTTGCTGTTAGATTCGGGTCTGTGAAGAATCACTGAGGGAGAAATTGACAATCCTCCTTGCCATCTTCCTCTCCAAGATTCTCTAAGCTCTTGTGGGATGGCACAGACTCTTCTTACTCCCATTTTTTCCTGCTAACTGGAATTCAGCCGCTCTCAACATTCTGTCCTTTCTGGAGGGCATTTTGTCTTCATCAGGCTGTTGTTTATCCTCTTGGTTAATTTACAGAGGCTTACGGTATTTTTCTACCTGCTTGGGTGGTCCCCTGAGAAATGCAGAGACACCTGCCTTGCACAGTTTCCACACTGGCCCAACCTCTTGACTGCCGGGTCTAGTCAGTGAATTGGGAGCATTGTCTGGAGTTTGCTATTAGAATTTTAAAAAAAGTATTAAGGCATGAATTGCAAGCCCCTTCATTTAGGCCACGGAGAACAAAATAATAACTAATTAGTATGTGTTTCCATGTGTGTTGAAAAGTTTCTTAAAATTGTAATCTCTGTATCTGTTCTTCTTGTTTGTTTGTTTAAGGAATGGGAGTGGATGGTCCAGCCTTTGGAGGAATGAACAGGATGGGCGGAGGTAGGTCTGTCCCTCCAGTTCCTTTTTTTCTATACCAAATGTATGAAGTCAGTGAAAAGCTTTTTGCTTACGCTTCAGGTGTCGGTGGATTTGGTGGCATGAAAGCTATGGCAAACGTGGGAGGCTTTGGTGGAGTCAACCGGATGGGAGGTAGGTGGCCATTATTCAGTCTTTAAATTTAACAGCAACAACAAGAACAAATGAAATCAAGCTTTACTTTTAAAATCTGTTCTTTCTAGGCATGGGCAGCGTGGATGATTTCAGAGGAAACCTCGGCAGCGGAATGAGCGGTGGCCTAGGAACAGGCATGGGGGGCATGGCGGCAGGCATGGGAGGTAAGCCACTGCTAATCCCCATTTTCTGAATGTGGCTTCACTGCACACCAGCTGCTGACACTGGATTCCAGACAGAAGGGGGAAAAGACCTTACTTAAAGAAGAAATATGACACAGATGTCCTTGGAGGGGCAACATGAGAAGATTTTCAGAAAGTTCACTTCTCTTAATGATCTAAACTGTTCTAAGCCAATAGTTTTTGCTCTAGTGTTCATCAAAGCTTGCTTTCCATATGCTGAGAAGGGCAGTCATCAAACTGTATTTTTCGGGCAACACCAACAGCACCTGTAGGCAAAAGATGCAGGAATATACTGTTGTAGTCAAAACAAAGCAGAAGACCCGTGGTTCCCTATGCTTTGCACTGCCTGTTTTAGGAGATTCGTTGAGGAAGGTTACTTAAGGGATTTGCTTAGTAGCAATTGGTGGCTGTTTGACTCTTGACAAAATCCCCCCCCCCCCGCTTTTATTTTGGCTGAATGAGTCAGACGAATATGTGGCTTACATGATTGTGAAGTTTGTAGTAGCTGCTGGGGGGAAAAATCCATGAGAGTTAGATAATGTCTGTGGTTGAAGGGTGTTGGGGTGATCACTTTGTGTGTGGTGCATTCACTTCCATTGATGTGGAAACCGTCTTGCACCAGTAATTGGACCTGTTAAATGCTTTGCGCTGACCTTTTGGCTTTAAACAAATGACTGCCTGGCAGATTCACCTGATTTAAATGTTCTTCTCTTGTTGCGCCATCACAGTGCAGTCCTCAAAAAAGACTCCTTTAAAGCTGTGATTCTAGAAATCCTGTGAAAGCAACAAGATACCTGTTGCTTAATAACATTTGAAAGACCTTTAGTAAAATTACGAGCTTCATTTGTATGTTTGAATTAGTGAAGCATGGTGTTTTAAGAAGCCTTGCTTCAGATTCACTATACACTCCATTTTATTTTCTACTGTCCTCCCCCCTCCAGTTTGAACTTGGAATGCAGCATAATGTCCTGGACATGTGCACCACATTTCCTTCTGTATCTGAATATTCAGTTATGCTTTTGATTAATTTGTCCATTTTGAATTCTGTCTGTCACTTTGCAGTCTAGAGGCTTCACTTTGCTTGGCCAATTTACACCATTCCATCTTTAAAAAGACTATTGAAATATTCTGGGCATTTTTTTTTTTGCTTTGTGATAGGCTACAGGCCAAAATCTTTAATTTTCTAAAATGTTTTAAATGTTCTGAATTAAAACTTCTAACAAAGACCCAAAGTTAACGGTTGCATAAAACCTGGACGCTGTTACCTAGCTACATAGACATTAGTGCGAAATCTGATCCCAGTGAGAACCTGTGCTTCTCAGCCTGATCCCTCAATGCAGACAGGAAAAAACTTCCATGCTCTAACCTCAGTCAGTTAACATTTATTTGCGTTTGGCTAGAGCCTGGAATCACATGTTACCCCCCGCCACGAGATGAGTGTGTGCATGCCCAAGGTTGAGAGTTCACATGTGCCCCTTCTTGACGTCACGGGTGCGCTATGGAATTTTGCTCCTGGGTTCAGTAACCTCCACCGTTGTTAATTGCTGGGATCCTAGAGGAGGCATTTGAGAGACTGCACTGTGTGTTTGCCGTTGGGAACATTCACTACCCTTTCAAGGTCAACAGCTGTGACCATTTTAGAATTTCGCTTTCCTGAAGGACTAAATGCCACAGCAGTTGCCCTGGGGGGGTGCAAAAGAATGTCCTGGTACTAATGAAACTTTGTTTAGATGGTTTACTGAACCAATGTATAATAGATAATACAACCAGCAGCAATGCATCTTTGAAACTGTGCCTGAAATCAGTGACTTAAAAGTTTTGTGCTGAGCAATGTATGGTATCCATTCCAAACTAACCTTGTTGGTTTCATTAATATGAACATGCAATATGAGCTATACAAGAAAGCCTGCCTGTATTAACCTGCAGAAATGTTCCGTGGCGGAATGGGAGGAAGTATCGATCGAGACTTTGGCCGAAGTGATATGGCCATGAACCGTGGCTTTGGAGACTCCTTTGGAAGAATGGGTATGGCCTTTGGTGACCTCATTTCTGAGCTTCCCACAGAATGTCAAGCATGCTCCATGCATACCATTTTCACAAGCGCACATGACGTCACTTCATCCTTGTCACCTCCCTTTTTCCATCTCTCTACCCAAGATAGTTGTCTGGGCCCCAAGTACTCTGTCCGGAGACTGAGAAGTGCGGGAGAGTGTGTGTGGCTTTTTTTTCCTGTGCCACCTTTTGAAGTCTTGATAGAAGTAGAGAAAGGATCAAATGGGTAGCGATCGCCAGTACTCCTCAAATGCCCTTTTGCTTTTAGGATGTGCTTGTGGCAGAGGTCATTTTGGGGGGGATCGCAGTTCCCCCGGGTGAGGTACGGGGGGCGGGGCACATGACGAAGCCCCGCCCCCTGCTTCCGGCCGCCCCGCTTCCGGCCCTCATTCAGCCAGGAGGAGGCAGGAGAAGAGGGAGGGTAAGTTGCTTCCTCCCTGTCTCTCCCCACCCCTGCCTGCCTGGGGCCAGGGAGGGCCTTCGTGGGGCTTCCCTGCACTCCCGCCGGCCTTGCAGGTCCACCGCCGGCCTTCTCATCGGGCTCGGCAGTGGAGCTGCAAGGCTGGCGGCGGCAGCCGGGACAGTTGGGGGTGGGGTGTGTGGCCTTATGACACACTTCCGGTGATGTCAGGGGGCGTGGCCTTGACACACTTCTGGTGATGTCAGGGGGCGTGGCATATGCTAATGAGGTATGCTAATGAGTCCCCCTAGCTCTTTTTCTACGAAACTACCCCTTGCTTGTGGAAAAATCACATAAGCTTGTTACTTCATTGCCCATCTACTTTATTACTTCTTTGAAATTTTTTTAGTGAGAACACTGTTGTGAATATACCCTTCATTCCCTCTCCCATGCCAGCAGCTGCCCTAGTTCATCTCTTTTATTTTAAGATAAACAGTCCATTGAGTAGTGCTCTCAGAGAGAGAGAAAGAGAGAATCTTTTGTGATAAGAAAGCGGCTTGGTACAGTTCCCTAGCTTTAAGTCAAAAAGTTATATAACTTGATTTTTTCTCTCCTTGTTTAGGTGGTGCAATGGTTGGTGGTTTTGCAGGAGGAATGGGAGCTTCTAATATGGGCCCAGTAGGATCTGGAATGAGTAGGTTAATCAGTTTCAACCAGATATAAATTATAGCTGTAGAAAGTCCGTTTTAGCTATCTTAGTGGACCCGGAGAAACTTTTGGTTCAGTGGCAAGAAACCAGTGATTCAGTGTTCCCCAGATTTTGCAGCTCCAGTGGAATTTTGCTAAGGAGTGACATTTTTGTAATGTGGCAACATTAATTGCATTTCATCAAATGTTCTGTGCTCAGAGTAACTACTAGGAATTAAGTGTTCTCTGTGGAATAAGCATTAGTTGTCCCAGAGTAGAGGATTTCTGTTAACATCAGAGCAAATACAGCAAGGTGACACTGAGAAAAACTACGGATTATACACAGTTCTAGATGACTAACTCATGTGGCAGTCTAGCCTGTGTGTGTAAAAGAGAGATCAATTTAGTCAGCATGCATGGCTACAAAAATAACTGCAGGATGCACACAGTGTACTGTGTTAAGTGTGCTAACTCCTTTTCACCCACCAGTGTGAACATATTTCCAGAATGAATGGAAGAATATGATTCTATCATTTGTTTCTTGATATCTTTGAATACGGGGTGTGGATCACAACCATTCCATATGCTTGGAATTCATTGTGTCTGTTTTGGGAAAATGCAGGCTTTGGGTGAGCCAGTATCTCCAAAAACTTTCTTTCGTTACTTAACAAAAATGGTAGTTTGGGGGGCAAGGGAGAGTTCTCTTTGCCCTTTCACATTTACTAACCTTGCTGGTGCATGTTCATGTCAAAGAGACGTTTAGTGCTTGGTATTAACAGAACTGGCAAGATGCATGGGCATTTCAGCACTGTTTGCACGGGCATTTCAGCAGATGATCGTCTTAGGGTTGAGGCAGTCAGTTTGCACAAGCTATAGCATGCTGGGCTTCGGGTGTACCATGCTAAGCCACCCTAATTTTAGGTAAGCCATGGCACCCGAAAGCTGATCCATGCAGAGTTCTGCGTTGTGACAGTGGCATCCATGCCACCAAAGTACCTACGGACTGATACACCTGGAGACCAGTGTGGGTTGACTGAAACCTGTAGCTGCCACCAGTTGAATGAGTTGTGTGAACAGGCGTGCTTTCCATTGCCCTGTGATCTGTTTCATTGTTGAGGACGCCACATACTTGCATAACTCATGCACCGTTTTAAAATAGCTGCACAACTTACTGAGTGCACCTTTTAAAGAAACAGACGCACAAACAGCTCAGTGATTTAAGATGCCAAATGGCCGTGAAACCTTTCTCCCCTTCAGAGTTCCTTCCCAAAGGTAAACTGATGGCAGATGACCAGCATGGTTGAAATTACAACCAGTTTCCCTGCCTGAATTATTGGGACTCCACTGCAGGTGAAACTGAACTTTTCCTAGCTGTGTAAGAAGCAATGCTGTTTCCCTTCCCGGAGTGCAGGCACATTTCTCCCATCCCCCGCATAACATTTAGCTTAATTTCACAAAAGGCTGAAGCTTGTACTCACCATTGCGATATCACACTTTTGTTTCCTGAAAGTTTCTTTCATTCTCTCTCTCTCCTTTTTGGTTTTTGCAGGTAGCGGAATAAGCGGTATGAACAGTATGACCGGAGGGATGGGAATGGGAATGGGAATGGATCGGATGAGCTCCACCTTTGACCGAATGGGGCCCACCATGGGATCTGGCCTAGACCGAAATATCGACATGGACCGAGGATTTGTGCCTGGCCCCATGGGAAGCGGCGCGAGGGACAGAGTTGGCTCCAAAGGCAACCAGATATTTGTCAGAAATGTAAGCAGCTTGTGAGTGAAACTGATCCCCAGCAGTGTCCGTGGCTTTGCTTTTCCTCCTTATGTTACTCTATGCTTGTCTTCATTTTCAGCTTCCTTTTGACTTGACCTGGCAGAAGCTTAAGGAAAAATTCAGCCAGTGTGGTAAGTATTTAGGCTATGAATGTTGCTGCCTCTCCTAGTTAGGAAAATATAGCCACTTACAGTAGGATGTGTGGCTCACGGGCATTTGACTCTCTGGGGTCCCTTTCCATATCAGCTCCTGCATGCTTGCAGTGGAGCCTGGTTGCACTGTAGGAGGACTTGGGGGCTTATTCTAGGGTGCCATCCTATGCAGTTAACTCCATTCTGAGTCTACTGAGGTCAATGGGCTCAGGCTGGAGTAACTCTGCATGGGATTGCCGTGCAAATGTAGGATCCCAGTCAGGCTGTTGCTTTGTGGGAGCTGAACAGGCACCCTGGCCATACAAGCCACACTCTCTTCTGCAGCTCCATCGTTCTAGGTGAGATCTGCAGTGTTGTGGTCTGTTTCAGGAAACAGTGTCCTCTGCTAGTGATTTCTTTGCCCTGTTGAGGAGCTTCTAGGGAATTCCTGGAATGCCGTGTGGAAACGGCTGGCAAAAAAAGTAAAACCTGCAGTGAGCAGCTTGATCTATCTTCCGTAATTGCCAGAATCCTTCAGAAATGCTTGGCATGCCTGCAAGCCCGTAGAGCACGAAGAGATTTTCTCACTCTTGTGTGTGTGTATTCTGTGCAGCACAGAATGGTTTTAAATAAGAAATGGCACACGTCCCAAATGTCTAGTTCTGCTTTTACGGCGATCCGA